TCTTATAAATATTTAAAGGCAGAATATAACTATACAACTTTGAAGCCTAGCATGGGTGCCATCAAGCACCATAATGACACTTTCTTTACCATGAGAGTAAAATCATGTATCAAGTCTGAGGCACCAAGTCCAGCGAAATTTATTTTCTAATTATATAAGGCTGGAACCTTACCTCCTAATGAAATTATTTCAAGTACTAGCATTCAAGGTCACAGATCAAATCTGACAAGGTCAAATTTGTATCTTCAACCAGAATTGAACATCTATGATATATTACCTTTCCAGTAACTAAACTCTATTACGGGGTTATATCTGATAATCTAAAATCCCCAAATTAAATTAGGATTATTATGAATGTGTATTTTTTGTGTGTATCATTCTTTTTCAAAATGATTTAGAGTGAGATAGAAGATGGAAAAGCTTTGCTTAAATGGAGATAACAAGAAGTTAATTCCAGAGGCAGAAAGTTAAGAATCTCAGTTAACAGAAATATTTGGGAACATTAGAAACTTCCAGAGTGATCAGCTGCAGCTGGCTGTGATTAACCAGTCTTTAATAATAATAAAAATCATCATAGTACAAACTCTTTTCTTTGTTTCTTACATCCTAATGTGACAGTAACAATTTTTGGGTTTAATTGTGATCATAATTATAGTGAACAGTAGAAAGAGTGCACAGTACATCATTTTATGGAAATTCCTTTGTAACAAAGCAATACAGAGCTATGGGAAACAGAATGGTTTGCAAAAAGGCAAAACCTTTCTTTGTCATTATTCTGATGCACCTTCACTGTGCTAATAGTCAAAAAAAATATCCTGGGACAAATAACCTTCCTAAAATAATTCTGTGAGTTGCCAATAAAAATTACTTATGAGTTTATTGTATTAACAAGGTAATCAGCTTGGGTGTTTTCATCATTCTAAATGCACTGTAGATATGTTTAAAACAATTTATTTAATATGTATTTACTGACTGTCCTAATGAATCTTGACTGCCAATTGACATTTCATTCACATACAAGCTACAGCTTTCTGCTAAATACATTTACACTGGCATTTAAATTATATGAATAATATGACAGTGACTGAGCTGTTGAGGCATCACTGCAGTTCTCAGGTCTTCAGCAGAATGACAGGATTTGTTGATGTGCTTTATCTCCTTTGCATCTGATTTATATGCATGCATCCCCCACCATACAGTATATGCAGATTTATAAATGCCCTTCTCTGCTTATTAAGTAATTCACTATTGAGCTGGAAGAGTGGGAGGAAAGGAAAGAAAGATGGAAAGGTAGTTTGACTGATGTCCTTTCTCCTCCTAGGAATTTTAAATGGATGTAGATCCCTGGTTAAATTCCTTTACAGTTTCACAGCTGAATAATCATTCCCCCTGGAACATCAATAATAAAATGCAAATAAAAAATATCACAGTACAAACATTTAACATTGCATATGTCATTTGTGTTATGTGGGCAAATAAATCTCTCCTTTAGTCATCATGTCCCGCTCTCTTAGCACTATGTATTAAAGGGTTATGCAGGTATCACATCTCAAACCATGACTTGAGTATGGATCAACATACCAAAGTAGAAGATAAAGAATAGCATTTTTAATAGGATGGGCAGAAATAAACACAATTAGAGGGGAAGCATGCAAGACTCTTTCCAAAATGTTACAATAAAGTGAAAATATGGTGACATGGCACTCCAGGTGACTAATTCATTCTGCTCTGCATACCACATAGCCTATTCTGACAATGTAATTTACTCTGAGAAAGTGAGGAACCACCTTATCAGTCTTCTATACAGAAAACAGGTACAGGTCAACACCTGGGTTACAGAACTAACAAACAGAATACAGACCTACCAGGACATGCACCTGTTTCCTAGAAGAAAGAATCACAGAATCATAGAAAACCAAGGTTGGAAGGGAACTCAGGAGGTCATCTAGTCCAAACCCCTGCTCAAAGCAGGACCATCCCAAACTAGATTATCCCAGACAAGCCTTTGTCTAGACAGGTCTTAAAAACCTCCAAGGATCAAAACTCTACCACCTCTCTAGGTAACCTGTTCTAGTGCTTTACTACCCTTCTTGTGAGAAAGTTTTCCTAATACCTAACCTAAACTTCCCTTGCTGCAACTTGAGACTGTTGCTCCTTGTTCTGTCATAGGTGCAAAACTGTGCACCTTTGGTTGAACCAAAGTTTGCAACCCAAGTCTAACTCTAAATGGCATTATTTTAGCAAAAACAAAAATATAGCTATACAAAACCTGAAGCCTAGCATATATACAGCTAGTGTGTGCAACTCTTACACATTTTGGGGACCAGGATACAAATTCATATTTACATACATCATTACACATTTATACTTTTTGCAGTTGATTATTTCTGCATAATTGTAGTGCTTTGCACTTATCCATATTGAATTACATTATGCTTATATTTAGACCGTTATTCCACTTTATCAAGATAATTTTGAATTCTTATTCTTTCTTCACATGCATGTAACACCCCTCCCCCCCCATTTGGATAACTCTTCATTTCGACAGAGATCAATTGACAAGTACTCTGAGTATAATTTTCCAACTGATTTTGTACTAACCTTGTAGTAGTTTCACATAGACAGTATACCCCTAGCTTATGAGAATGCCACAAAAGACTTTATCTTTAACCAAAGTGAAGAGATAACACAGCTGCTTGTCCTCTATCCATAAAGCCTGTTACACTGTCATAGAAGGAAATTAGATGGGTTTGGCATGACTTTGTCTCAAAAAATCTTTCTTGGCTGATACTTAGTACCATGTTCCCTCCTAGGTACTTCCAAGCTGGTAATTTAATTATTTGTTCTATTACCTATCTAAAGTTGAGATGACTAATCTATAATTCATTGGGTCTTGTTTTTAAAGATATAGACACTAAGTCTGCCCTTTTCTAGACTTCAGGAACTTTATTCATAATTCACAACTTCTCAGAGATAACTACTAATACTTGAGAGGCTGGGACCATCTTTTTACAAATACCCTAGGCTGACTTCTATAAGGCCCAGCTGTACCATCTTTTTATAAGTACCCTAGGCTGACTTCTATAAGGCCCAGCTGATTTGACAACATCTGCCTTTATCCATGTAGTTTCTAAGCTGTTCCTTCTGTATGTCTCTCATTAGTCGTATCTCCTTTTGTTCCTTAGCTTCTTTCATTTTGCCCCTTCACACT